TAAGCAGGTTCAATATAATATCTCTGTTATTAGATTCAATAGATTCCCTATTAGATCTGCAAAGAAAACATGATACGTATAATGTACATAAGAAAATTAAAGAGATTACCAGAACAAATAGAAGAAATAAATTTACTAATATTTTAAATGAAAAGGATGATTTAGTTTTGGAATTGGGGGAAAAACTGAAATTATGGAAAGAGTATGTTGAAAAATTATATTTTGATGAGAGAAATTTAAAACCTATAATAATTGATAAAGAAGAAGGACCAACAATACTAAAAGTAGAAGTAAAGAATGCAATTAGAACAACTAAAGAAGGTAAAGCTACCGGACCAGATGAAGTTCCCGCTGAAATTTTGAAATTACTGGATGAAGATAGTCTTGATATTTTAGTGGATTTTTACAACATTATTTACGAAAGTGGTGTAATTCCTCAAGATCTTTTAATGTCTACGTTTATAGCAATTCCCAAAAAAGATAATGCAAAAAAGTGTGGTGATTATAGAACTATAAGCCTGATGAGTCATGTTTTAAAAATTTTCTTAAGAATAATTCATACAAGAATATATAAAAAATGTGAAGAAGATTTAAGCAACACACAGTTTGGGTTTAGAAAATCTNCGTTAGGCACCATCTCTTATCTAAATTAATAATTATAATTTTAATAATTTAATAAATAATTTAGAACTTTCTGGAAGAAATAACTGACTCGGGGCAGAGCTTGAACCTGCAACCTCCACTTGCTGTGCTTTTAAATACTTCTGGAAGTGAAGGCTGACTTGGGGTCCGGGTGGTACAATTGGTAGCGCACTGCACGGCAAGCGGAGGCTGCGGGTTCAAGCCCTGCCCTGGGTCAGTTATTTCTTCCAGAAGATTCTAAATTATTTATTAAATTATTAAAATTATAATTATTAATTTAGATAAGAGATGGTGTTTGACGCTTACCTCTAGTACCAAATTTATTTGTATTAATTATTTAATTATAGCCATATAGCTTGAATATTTCGGCTATCATTGGCTTATTATCCTTAATATACTACGAGAATATATTGCTCCTGCGTTTCATTCTTGGTTCAATAATTATTTCTTATTAAGAACTTATAAAATTAAAATATAGGCAACTTTCCTTGCCTAAGTTATTAAGTTTATAAGTTATTAAGAACTTATAAAATTAAAATATAGGCAATTTTATACTTTCCTTGATTTTGTTTCTTTATGTGGTGTGAGGGTCGGACTGAATAAAATAAAATTAACGACAACATTAAAAGTTTAAACCATTTTTTTTTAACAAAGAAAATCTCCATTTTCCCTTTTTTGAAATTTTTTGAAGGAGGATGTTCCCATTTCCTTTCCCCGGAGCTGTTTCCTATCTCTCAGGAACATGAAAATGAATCACAGGGAACTTATAAAAAAAATCGGTGATTGGCAAAAAACAGGAATGTGACTAAAGGTATAAAAGAGGGATGACGACGGAAAAAGGGGGTCTGACATTGCCATCACCATTTGTGACCAGTGATCCCTCATCACTGTCAATCCTCTAACCCGGCATTGCCGCCCGTCTTCACTGACCATTATTGATGAGAACCCCTGCCGATCCTCATCACCGCTGTTCATTCCTCAACCCAATGACCCAAACTTGTCCGATTCCCACTTGTAGAGGTATGACACCCATTAATATAAACTCTCTCGGCGCGCTTCTTTCCAATTCTGCGTGCACGCTTGAGATAAGTTCAATGTAGCTATATTAATTATGTTATTGCCTAATAAATTCTTGTTTTTATTGTATATGGTGTCTTTAATTCAGGTATTGCCAACACTTTACTGACGACCCCTCTCACGTCCTCCACTTGACCTGACAAAAGAATCCCGACTTTCCGGGATAGAAAACTTAAATAAGCCATCAACTGACCAGTGGGCAGTTTTCACCAAACTGTTGCTGATCAAAAAGAGGTACAACTTCGTCCTACCTCAGAGGCTACCCACAGTGGTATCCAACAAGGATCTATTCTTAATGGCCTTTCTTTTCAATGTATTTAAATGAACTTTTCTATCATCTTAAATCTCCTCTTATAGCTTATACAGATGACATAAAACTAATCTGTTCTGATCCATCTATCTTACAGTCTGATATTGATTTACTAATAAATACGTTTAAATCTGCCAACATGAAAATTAATGCAGAAAAAACGGTGATTACATGTTATGCTTTGATTCGTAATCCTCCATCACCTGTTTTTTATGTCTATTCTAATCCGATTAATTACATAATTTCTATTAACAATTTAGGCATAGCATTTGACACCAAACTTATATTCAAAAATCATACTGCTAAACTGGTTAAATCCCTGGCTATCAGACGTGGAATTTCATGCCAATTTTGTAAGCCCATCTTTAATAAAAGAGCACTACGGGCCATTTTTTATGCTAATTTTCAATCTTGCATTAATTATGGATTGCCCATCTGGTCAACGGTCGCACCTTCCCTTTTACACAAGATTATTTTTGCTATTAATAAGATTTATCTCACATTTAACAAAATGTGTAATCTGCCTTTCTCTATTGACTCTAATATTGGTAGAATTTGCCTGGGCTTCCCAACTTTCGAGAGAATTAAATATTTTGTTTGGTTAATATATTACAAATATTTTAATGGTCTCATTTATTAAGATTGGCTTTCAATTCAAATTCCATAGAGAAAACTTTGCTTATTTACTTATGTTTTTACCCCTTTTTATCGTCTAAATCTATCCCAAGGATCTTTCTTTTGCCGTATATCGCGAAACCTTGATAAGCTTGATGAATTTTTACATCTTAATCTCCCTGATTTTTAAATTAAAATTTGAGAAAGCATTGTATCTGTTTTAAAATTTGTTACCTGGTTTTTTATTTTTTTAGTTTGTTTTGTTTTAAGGGGTGTTGTTTGTTTTTATGATACATGTTTTTGTAGTGGGCAGAAATTAAATGTCTATCCAGATGTTTCCTGTAAATTTAATGAAATAAATAAATTTTAAAAAATTGTTACTTGACCAGTTTTTGCACCAAGCTTTCAATTACAAATATTTTTTGGAATTGAAAGTCTTTCCTCTTTTTTTTTTATATTTCTTTAATTTTTTTACATAATATAGCACTAACTTTATTTTGGAGACTATAGCCAATCACAATTTTGCTCTCCACAGAATGGTTTGACTTGCAATTTGATCAGTTAATGAGGGAGGAGTGGAGGATACTTTGTTTTGAAATTGATCATATGACTCTATTCAATTCAAATTTAAATAGTTTTTGTAATTTATTGTTTCTGTTATTTTAGGATATTATTTCTTAAATTAGCTGATTGAATAAAATAATGAAATCATGATGGTTTAAAAATTTCTGGTTTCAGAACTATAATTTTTATACAGTCAAACCTTGGTTTTTGAACATAATTCATTCCCAAGAGTTGTTCTAAAACTGAAACAAATTATCTAATGAGAAACAATATAAAATGGATTAATTTGTTTCTGACTCTCAAAATACAGCTGAAAAGGTTAAAGGCTTTATTTCATGCATAAAAATGCAATGTAATATTATATATAATAAATTTTGTTTATTTAATTCGAGTTAAGCACCTTTTTTAAACATTAACTGTTGAATGCCATTTTAATATTAAGTGAATGTTAATTGATGCAGTTTTTATTAATTAATTTGATTTTTAAATTCAACTGGAATACTGAAAATGGAAGTATTATCTTTTCCAAATGTGCATCAAAATCTAAGGTAGATAACAACGTTGTTGATGATTCGTGTTCTGATGTCTAATGACGTGAAGCGATCTCTGTGCTACTAACTTCTGATACAATAATCTTATCATTGATTGGTTGGACCAGTGGTGGATTTCTGCACAGGCACATGAGGCTCACCTCAAAATTCAGCTCTCAAAATATAAAAAAAAGATTAATTTTTTTTTATTTTGAAAGCTGAATTTTGAGGTGATAATAAAAATAATAATTTAGGGCTGATAATAATAATAATAGGGGTGATGATAATAATAATAATTTAGGGATGAGGTGATAATAAAAATAATAATTTCACTATCCCTTAAATTCATTAATTTAAGGGATAATGAAAATATTTAGAGGGGATCCTCAAAATTGAATTGCACCTGGGGCCTCTCAAGTGCTAAATCCGCTACTGGATTGGACTATTGACTTTCTCATAGGAAGTAAAGGAGCCAAATGTCTGTGTGTCTCTAATCTGTGGTTGGCTTTTGCCGAGTACCTTGTTTGGTAGCCGAGTTATCATATGGCAACTGGGGGCAATTAAGAATTTGAGATTTTGTTTGTGAACAGATTTGTTCGAAACAGAGGTTTGACTATTTACAATTCTTGAATTCTTTCTAGTTCAAATTTTTTTTCTATAAAAAGAAAAATAATTGCTGACATGATTTCATATAATTTTAATTTTGTGAAACTTTTTTCCCCAATTAATTTAGTTCATAACAAATAAGACAGAATGTTTGAAAACCAGAAATGAACAGTCTTGGCTTGAAATATACATCTATAAAATCAAATAGGAGAAATAGAAAATGGGTTTTCAATTCTTTATTTTTGATGAAGGAACACAATGTGAACCATAATGTTATGCAAAATTCGCCATTTATAATTAAATCAACTTAATAAGTCGTTGTCAGTCGAAGAAGTTTATATTTACCAAACAACCTGCAGTATTTTTAGACTTAAGGCTAAGGAAATAATTTTAGGATTTTTTTCATATTATGATTTAATGTTTGTTGTAATTTTTTTTATAATACAACATGTATCAAAAAGAACTTTGCAATGTATATTCAAAGACTTGGTTATTCTACTTTCACTAACCTGTTGTTGCACATAAAATCATGGTGTCAACACAAAGGTTCTATCACCCATGCCATTTTGTTTCAAACATAATCTCACAGTTAGAGGAAGTTGCAGTCATCTCTCACTAATATTTCTATATTTTCAGATAAAGTAATGTGCAATTTGAAATATTTATTTCATTTGTTTTGATTTTTAGAATGAAATTTGTGATCTGTGCAAGCAAATGGTACAAGAAGCTAGAGATCAATTATTAAGTAATGAAACTCAAGTAAGTTTTGAAAATATGTATGTATTTATTAAGGATGCACTGGTATGATCTTAATAATATATTTTCTTCACTCATTTATAAGTACTAGAAAACTGTTCTATAAACTGACTTAATGACAGAGGATTTATAAATTTTTTTATTACATTTGTAAGTGATCCTTTATCATCACAGGTCTTTTTTCTACATGAAAAACCTTCAAACCAGGAGGATTTGAAATATTCCTTTTATTCTCCAAACTAATAACGTACCTTCCCTTAATTTTTCAACCTTCGAAAATCGCTGTTTGATCTTTTGCATTTCAAATCTTCTTTATAACATTTTTTTTTTAATTCTTAAACTTTTTTTTTAACATTCTTTTTAAACTTTAAACTTCTGTACTTTAGAACAACAAACAAATTAACATGCAAATAAGTGAGTGGGTCCGATATCGCTACAACATTGTTATACATATTTCAGAAATGTTACGTTTTTTTCCATGTTACAGGTTTTATAAGAATTGATTAAACAAACTTTGTGTCACTCTATGCTAGTGTTTGTTTACTTTGAACTGTTCAGATGTTTAATGAGAGAGAAATGCATTTGAAAATAGTATAGTGTTTAAAATTTTAAGAAAGTTCATTTGCATTATCACAGGAAAGTGCTCTAAATGAATGCAAGATCTAAATTTTATTTATTTATAATCCAAAATTTAAAGTTTTCAATGTTCTAAAAATATTGTTTTTCAGGAGAAGAGTCATAGAAGATTGATCATCAACTGATGATATGCCAACTGGCATCGAACACTTTTAATAAATCTATCATTAGTATCATAATTATCTTTTGCTATTTTTTTAAATATTAGATAATAATACTTCCAGAAAAGTAATGTTTTCAAAAAATTGTCTTAAATTAATCCTAATTTGTCAGTTACCATAAATGCCCTAGATTAATCTGATCATAATAAGCAGCAGGTTGATCACAATAACTGGCAAGATTTTACACAGGAAATACAGAATGGCTTGGAAACATTTTGGTTTTTGTTACATTTAAGTAGTTGATAATATAAACAAGTAATCACAATATGTGGTTACCCTTGTGTGTAATATACATAAAACGTTACCTAATTTGTGAAATCGATAGCCAACGTGCCAATTTTCATGAATTATGCTAACTTTGAATTTCTGATTTTGTGAAATCAGCATTTTCTTTTCTAATAAGATACAGACATATGTTTTTATTAACAATTTGTATCCATAATTCAATAAAAGTTTTTATTGTAGTATTGTCTTCATACATGAAGGTTATGTAATGATACTTTATACTTTTTAATGATGCTTGTTTATACATTCTAGAGTTTAAAAAATTTAATAGAATAAAAAATAGTAATGTCATATTCAGATTTTGTAGCAAGATGGCAGAAAGAATTAATATAAATTCTTCACTTTATATTAATGTAAAAAAATGCATTTATAACATGAAATAACTAATTGTTAAGATATCAAAAATAATAATCAGTAAGACTAATGAAAGAAGAGCTCATCAAAATACTTTGATGAGCTCTTCTTTCATTAGTCTTACTGATTATTATTTTTGATATCTTAACAATTAGTTATTTCATGTTATAAATGCATTTTTTTACATTAATATAAAGTGAAGAATTTATATTAATTCTTTCTGCCATCTTGCTACAAAATCTGAATATGACATTACTATTTTTTATTCTATTAAATTTTTTAAACTCTAGAATGTATAAACAAGCATCATTAAAAAGTATAAAGTATCATTACATAACCTTCATGTATGAAGACAATACTACAATAAAAACTTTTATTGAATTATGGATACAAATTGTTAATAAAAACATATGTCTGTATCTTATTAGAAAAGAAAATGCTGATTTCACAAAATCAGAAATTCAAAGTTAGCATAATTCATGAAAATTGGCACGTTGGCTATCGATTTCACAAATTAGGTAACGTTTTATGTATATTACACACAAGGGTAACCACATATTGTGATTACTTGTTTATATTATCAACTACTTAAATGTAACAAAAACCAAAATGTTTCCAAGCCATTCTGTATTTCCTGTGTAAAATCTTGCCAGTTATTGTGATCAACCTGCTGCTTATTATGATCAGATTAATCTAGGGCATTTATGGTAACTGACAAATTAGGATTAATTTAAGACAATTTTTTGAAAACATTACTTTTCTGGAAGTATTATTATCTAATATTTAAAAAAATAGCAAAAGATAATTATGATACTAATGATAGATTTATTAAAAGTGTTCGATGCCAGTTGGCATATCATCAGTTGATGATCAATCTTCTATGACTCTTCTCCTGAAAAACAATATTTTTAGAACATTGAAAACTTTAAATTTTGGATTATAAATAAATAAAATTTAGATCTTGCATTCATTTAGAGCACTTTCCTGTGATAATGCAAATGAACTTTCTTAAAATTTTAAACACTATACTATTTTCAAATGCATTTCTCTCTCATTAAACATCTGAACAGTTCAAAGTAAACAAACACTAGCATAGAGTGACACAAAGTTTGTTTAATCAATTCTTATAAAACCTGTAACATGGAAAAAAACGTAACATTTCTGAAATATGTATAACAATGTTGTAGCGATATCGGACCCACTCACTTATTTGCATGTTAATTTGTTTGTTGTTCTAAAGTACAGAAGTTTAAAGTTTAAAAAGAATGTTAAAAAAAAAAGTTTAAGAATTAAAAAAAAAATGTTATAAAGAAGATTTGAAATGCAAAAGATCAAACAGCGATTTTCGAAGGTTGAAAAATTAAGGGAAGGTACGTTATTAGTTTGGAGAATAAAAGGAATATTTCAAATCCTCCTGGTTTGAAGGTTTTTCATGTAGAAAAAAGACCT